TCCTGGCGGCTGTCCCGGTGTCTCTCTCCCCGTGTGTCCCCGTGTCTCTCCCCGTGTCTCTCTCTCTCTCCCTGTGTCTCTCCCCGTGTCTCTCCCTGTGTCTCCCGGTGTCTCACCCGACGGAGTCTCGGGCTCCACGTGTCCTGGCGGCTGTCCCGGTATCTCTGTCCCCGTGTCTCTCTCTCTCTCCCCGTGTCTCTCCCCGTGTCTTCCCGTGTCTCTCCCCGTGTCTCTGTCCCCGTGTCTCTCTCTCCCCGTGTCTCTCCCTGTGTCTCTCTCTCTCCCCGTGTCTCTCTCTCTCCCCGTGTCTCTCTCTCTCCCCCTGTGTCTCCCCGTGTCTCTGTCCCCGTGTCTCACCCGATGGAGTCTCGGGCTCCACGTGTCTCTGTCTCCCGGTGTCTCTCTCCCCGTGTCTCTCTCTCCCCGTGTCTCTCTCTCCCCGTGTCTCTCTCTCCCCGTGTCTCTCTCTCCCCGTGTCTCCCCGTGTCTCTCTCTCTCCCCGTGTCTCTCTCTCCCCGTGTCTCTCTCTCCCCGTGTCTCCCCGTGTCTCTCTCTCTCTCCCCGTGTCTCTCTCTCCCCGTGTCTCTCCCCGTGTCTCCCCGTGTCTCCCCGTGTCTCTCTCCCCGTGTCTCTCCCCGTGTCTCTCTCCCCGTGTCTCTCTCCCGGTGTCTCACCCGACGGAGTCTCGGGCTCCACGTGTCCCGGCGGCTGTCCCGGTGTCTCTCTCCCCGTGTCTCTCTCTCCTTGTCTCTCTCCCCGTGTCTCCCTCTCTCTCTGTCCCTGTGTCTCTCTCACTCCCCGTGTCTCTCCCCGTGTCTCTCCCCGTGTCTCTCTCCCGGTGTCTCACCCGACGGAGTCTCGGGCTCCACGTGTCCCGGCGGCTGTCCCGGTGTCTCTCTCCCCGTGTCTCTCTCTCCTTGTCTCTCTCCCCGTGTCTCCCTCTCTCTCTGTCCCTGTGTCTCTCTCACTCCCCGTGTCTCTCCCCGTGTCTCTCCCCGTGTCTCTCTCCCGGTGTCTCACCCGACGGAGTCTCGGGCTCCACGTGTCCTGGCGGCTGTCCCGGTGTCTCTCTCCAAGTGTCTCTCTCTCCCCGTGTCTCTCTCTCTCCCTGTCCCCGTGTCTCCCAGTGTCTCTCCCTGTGTCTCTCCCCGTGTCTCCCCGTGTCTCCCCGTGTCTCTGTCCCCGTGTCTCTCCCCGTTTCTCTCCCTGTGTCTCTCCCCGTGTCTCTCTCTCCCCGTGTCTCTCTCTCCCCGCGTCTCTCTCTCCCCGTGTCTCTCTCTAACCGCGTCTATCTCTCTCCCCGTGTCTCTCCCCGTGTCTCCCCGTGTCTCTCCCCGTGTCTCTGTCCCCGTGTCTCTCTCTCCCCGTGTCTCTCCCTGTGTCTCTCTCTCCCCGTGTCTCTCTCTCTCCCCGTGTCTCTCTCTCTCCCCCTGTGTCTCCCCGTGTCTCTGTCCCCGTGTCTCACCCGATGGAGTCTCGGGCTCCACGTGTCTCTGTCTCCCGGTGTCTCTCTCCCCGTGTCTCTCTCTCCCCGTGTCTCTCTCTCCCCGTGTCTCTCTCTCCCCGTGTCTCTCTCTCCCCGTGTCTCTCTCTCCCCGTGTCTCTCTCTCCCCATGTCTCTCCCCGTGTCTCTCTCTCTCCCCGTGTCTCTGTCCCGGTGTCTCACCCGACGGAGTCTCGGGCTCCACGTGTCCTGGCGGCTGTCCCGGTGTCTCTCTCCCCGTGTCTCTCTCTCCCCGTGTCTCTCTCTCTCCCCGTGTCTCTCTCTCCCCGTGTCTCTCTCTCCCCGTGTCTCCCCGTGTCTCTCTCTCTCTCCCCGTGTCTCTCTCTCCCCGTGTCTCTCCCCGTGTCTCCCCGTGTCTCCCCGTGTCTCTCTCCCCGTGTATCTCCCCGTGTCTCTCCCCGTGTCTCTCTCCCCGTGTCTCTCTCCCCGTGTCTCTTCCCGTGTCTCTCCCTGTGTCTCTCTCCCCGTGTCTCTCTCCCCGTGTCTCTCCCCGTGTCTCTCTCCCCGTGTCTCTCTCCCGGTGTCTCACCCGACGGAGTCTCGGGCTCCACGTGTCCCGGCGGCTGTCCCGGTGTCTCTCTCCCCGTGTCTCTCTCTCTCCCCGTGTCTCTCCCTGTGTCTCCCGGTGTCTCTCTCTGTCCCTGTGTCTCCCGGTGTCTCTCTCTCGCCGTGTATCTCTCTCCCCGTGTCTGTCCCCGTGTCTCTCTCTCCCCGTGTCTCACCCGACGGAGTCTCGGGCTCCACGTGTCTCTCTCTCTCTCCGTGTCTCTCTCTCCCCGTGTCTCTCCCCGTGTCTCTCCCGGTGTCTCACCCGACGGAGTCTCGGGCTCCACGTGTCCTGGCGGCTGTCCCGGTGTCTCTCTCCCCGCGTCTCTCTCCCCGTGTCTCTCTCCGTGTCTCTCTCCCCGTGTCTCTCTCCCCGTGTCTCTCTCCCCGTGTCTCTGTCCGCGTGTCTCACCCGACGGAGTCTCGGGCTCCACGTGTCCTGGCGGCTGTCCCCATGTCTCTCTCCCCATGTCTCTCTCCCCGTGTCTCTCCCCGTGTCTCTCCCCGTGTCTCTCCGTGTCTCTCACTGTGTCTCCCCACGTGTCTCTCTCTCTCCCGGTGTCTCACCCGACGGAGTCTCGGGCTCCACGTGTCCTGGCGGCTGTCCCCGTGTCTCTCTCCCCGTGTCTCTCTCCCCGTGTCTCTCTCTCTCCCCGTGTCTCTCCCTGTGTCTCCCGGTGTCTCTCTCTGTCCCTGTGTCTCCCGGTGTCTCTCTCTCGCCGTGTATCTCTCTCCCCGTGTCTCTCCCCGTGTATCTCTCTCCCCGTGTCTCTCCCTGTCCCCGTGTCTCTCCCCGTGTCTCTCTCTCCCCGTGTCTCTCCCCGTGTCTCCCCGTGTCTCCCCGTGTCTCTCTCCCCGTGTCTCTCCCCGTGTCTCTCCCCGTGTCTCTCTCCCCGTGTCTCTCTCTCCCCGTGTCTCTCTCTCCCCGTGTCTCCCCGTGTCTCTCTCTCTCTCCCCGTGTCTCTCTCTCCCCGTGTCTCTCCCCGTGTCTCCCCGTGTCTCTCCCCGTGTCTCCCCGTGTCTCTCTCCCCGTGTCTCTCCCCGTGTCTCTCTCCCCGTGTCTCTCTCCCGGTGTCTCACCCGACGGAGTCTCGGGCTCCACGTGTCCCGGCGGCTGTCCCGGTGTCTCTCTCCCCGTGTCTCTCTCTCCTTGTCTCTCTCCCCGTGTCTCCCTCTCTCTCTGTCCCTGTGTCTCTCTCACTCCCCGTGTCTCTCCCCGTGTCTCTCCCCGTGTCTCTCTCCCGGTGTCTCACCCGACGGAGTCTCGGGCTCCACGTGTCCTGGCGGCTGTCCCGGTGTCTCTCTCCAAGTGTCTCTCTCTCCCCGTGTCTCTCTCTCTCCCTGTCCCCGTGTCTCCCAGTGTCTCTCCCTGTGTCTCTCCCCGTGTCTCCCCGTGTCTCCCCGTGTCTCTCTCCCTGTGTCTCTCCCCGCGTCTCTCTCTCCCCGTGTCTCTCTCTAACCACGTCTATCTCTCTCCCCGTGTCTCTCCCCGTGTCTCCCCGTGTCTCTCCCCGTGTCTCTGTCCCCGTGTCTCTCTCTCCCCGTGTCTCTCCTTGTGTCTCTCTCTCCCCGTGTCTCTCTCTCTCCCCGTGTCTCTCTCTCTCTCCCTGTGTCTCCCCGTGTCTCTGTCCCCGTGTCTCACCCGATGGAGTCTCGGGCTCCACGTGTCTCTGTCTCCCGGTGTCTCTCTTCCCGTGTCTCTCTCTCCCCGTGTCTCTCTCTCCCCGTGTCTCTCTCTCCCCGTGTCTCTCTCTCCCCGTGTCTCTCTCTCCCCGTGTCTCTCTCTCCCCGTGTCTCTCCCCGTGTCTCTGTCCCGGTGTCTCACCCGACGGAGTCTCGGGCTCCACGTGTCCTGGCGGCTGTCCCGGTGTCTCTCTCCCCGTGTCTCTCTCTGTCCCTGTGTCTCTCTCTCTCTCCCCGTGTCTCTCTGTCCCTGTGTCTCCCGGTGTCTCACCCGACGGAGTCTCGGGCTCCACGTGTCCTGGCGGCTGTCCCGGTATCTCTGTCCCCGTGTCTCTCTCTCTCTCCCCGTGTCTCTCCCCGTGTCTTCCCGTGTCTCTCCCCGTGTCTCTGTCCCCGTGTCTCTCTCTCCCCGTGTCTCTCCCTGTGTCTCCCGGTGTCTCTCTCTGTCCCTGTGTCTCCCGGTGTCTCTCTCTGTCCCCGTGTCTCCCCGTGTCTCTCTCTCTCTCCCCGTGTCTCTCTCTCCCCGTGTCTCTCCCCGTGTCTCCCCGTGTCTCCCCGTGTCTCTCTCCCCGTGTCTCTCCCCGTGTCTCTCCCCGTGTCTCTCTCCCCGTGTCTCTCTCCCCGTGTCTCTTCCCGTGTCTCTCCCTGTGTCTCTCTCCCCGTGTCTCTCTCCCCGTGTCTCTCCCCGTGTCTCTCTCTCCCGGTGTCTCACCCGACGGAGTCTCGGGCTCCACGTGTCCTGGCGGCTGTCCCGGTGTCTCTCTCCCCGTGTCTCTCTCTCTCCCCGTGTCTCTCTCTCTGTGTCTCTCTCCCTGTGTCTCTCTCTCCCTGTCTCACCCGACGGAGTCTCGGGCTCCCCGTGTCTCTCTCTGTCCCCGTGTCTCTCTCTCCCCGTGTCTGTCCCCGTGTCTCTCTCTCCCCGTGTCTCTCTCCCGGTGTCTCACCCGACGGAGTCTCGGGCTCCACGTGTCCCGGCGGCTGTCCCGGTGTCTCTCTCCCCGTGTCTCTCCCTGTGTCTCTCTCCCCGTGTCTCTCTCTCTCCCCGTGTTTCTCCCTGTGTCTCCCGGTGTCTCTCTCTGTCCCTGTGTCTCCCGGTGTCTCTCTCTCCCCGTGTCTCTCTCTGTCCCCGTGTCTCTCTCTCCCCGTGTCTCTCCCCGTGTCTCTCTGTCTCTCCGTGTCTCTCTCTCTCCCCGTGTCTCTCCCCGTGTCTCTCCCGGTGTCTCCCCGTGTCTCTCTCTGTCCCCGTGTCTCTCTCCCGGTGTCTCACCCGACGGAGTCTCGGGCTCCACGTGTCCCGGCGGCTGTCCCGGTGTCTCTCTCCCCGCGTCCTGCGGCGACGTCAGCATCATGGCTCCAGGCCTCCTCCCGACAGCGGCACGGCAGGGGTCTACAGAGGCTCCCAGAGCCAGCGGGAGACTCCGGGAGCCTACCAGGGGGCTCGGTGAGTGACTCAGTGAGTGAGTTAGTGACTCAGTGAGTGACTCAGTGAGTGACTCACTCAGTGAGTGACCCAGTCAGTGAGTGAATCAGCGGCACGGCAGGGGTCTACAGAGGCTCCCAGAGCCAGCGGGAGGCTCCGGGAGCCTACCGGGGAGCTCGGTGAGTGAGTGACTCAGTGAGTGACTCAGTGAGTGACTCAGTGAGTGACTCACTCAGTGAGTGACCCAGTCAGTGAGTGACTCAGTGGCACGGCAGGGGTCTACAGAGGCTCCCAGAGCCAGCGGGAGACTCCGGGAGCCTACCAGGGGGCTCGGTGAGTGACTCAGTGAGTGACTCAGTGAGTGACTCAGTGAGTGAGTTAGTGAGTGACTCAGTGAGTGAATCAGCGGCACGGCAGGGGTCTACAGAGGCTCCCAGAGCCAGCGGGAGACTCCGGGAGCCTACCGGTGACTCAGTCAGTCAGTGAGTGACTCAGTGAGTGACTCAGTGAGTGACTCACTCAGTGAGTGACCCAGTCAGTGAGTGACTCAGTGGCACGGCAGGGGTCTACAGAGGCTCCCAGAGCCAGCGGGAGACTCCGGGAGCCTACCGGGGGGCTCGGTGAGTGACTCAGTGAGTGAGTTAGTGAGTGAGTTAGTGAGTGACTCAGTGAGTGAGTTAGTGAGTGACTCAGTGAGTGACTCAGTGAGTGAATCAGCGGCACGGCAGGGGTCTACAGAGGCTCCCAGAGCCAGCGGGAGACTCCGGGAGCCTACCGGGGAGCTCGGTGAGTGACTCAGTGAGTGAGTTAGTGAGTGAGTTAGTGAGTGACTCAGTGAGTGAATCAGCGGCACGGCAGGGGTCTACAGAGGCTCCCAGAGCCAGCGGGAGACTCCGGGAGCCTACCGGTGACTCAGTCAGTCAGTGACTCAGTGAGTGACTCAGTGAGTGACTCAGTGAGTGAGTGAGTGAGTGAGTGACTCAGTGAGTGACCCAGTCAGTGAGTGAGTGACTCAGTCAGTGAGTGACTCAGTCAGTGAGTGATTCAGTGAGTGACTCAGTCAGTGAGTGACTCAGTGAGTGACTCAGTGAGTGACTCACTCAGTGAGTGACTCAGTGAGTGACCCAGTCAGTGAGTGACTCAGTGAGTGACTCAGCGGTACGGCAGGGGTCGACAGAGGCTCCCAGAGCCAGCGGGAGACTCCGGGAGCCTACCGGTGACTCAGTCAGTCAGTGACTCAGTGAGTGACTCAGTGAGTGACTCAGTGAGTGAGTGAGTGAGTGACTCAGTGAGTGACCCAGTCAGTGAGTGAGTGACTCAGTCAGTGAGTGACTCAGTCAGTGAGTGATTCAGTGAGTGACTCAGTCAGTGAGTGACTCAGTGAGTGACTCAGTGAGTGACTCACTCAGTGAGTGACTCAGTGAGTGACCCAGTCAGTGAGTGACTCAGTGAGTGACCCAGTCAGTGAGTGACTCAGTGAGTGACTCGGTGAGTGAGTGAGTGACTCAGTAAGTGAGTCAGTGAGTGAGTGACTGAGTGAGTGAGTTAGTGAGTGAGTGACTCAGTGAGTGACTCAGTGAGTGAGTGACTGAGTGAGTGAGTTAGTGAGTGACTCGGTGAGTGAATCAGTGAGTGAGTGACTCAGTCAGTGAGTCAGTGAGTGAGTGACTGAGTGAGTGAGTTAGTGAGTGACTCAGTGAGTTAGTTAGTGAGTGAGTGACTCAGTCAGTGAGTCAGTGAGTGAGTGACTGAGTGAGTGAGTTAGTGAGTGAGTGACTCAGTGAGTTGGTTAGTGAGTGAGTGACTCAGTGAGTGAGTTAGTGAGTGAGTGACTCAGTGAGTGACTCAGTGAGTGACTGAGTGAGTGAGTTAGTGAGTGAGTGACTCAGTGAGTTAGTTAGTGAGTGACTCAGTGAGTGAGTTAGTGAGTGAGTGACTCAGTGAGTGACTCAGTGAGTGACTCAGTGAGTGAGTTAGTGAGTGAGTGACTCAGTGAGTTAGTTAGTGAGTGAGTGACTCAGTCAGTGAGTCAGTGAGTGAGTGACTGAGTGAGTGAGTTAGTGAGTGAGTGACTCGGTGAGTTAGTTAGTGAGTGAGTGACTCAGTGAGTGACTCAGTGAGTGACTCAGTGAGTGAGTTAGTGAGTGAGTGACTCAGTGAGTGACTCAGTGAGTGACTCAGTGAGTGAGTTAGTGAGTGAGTGACTCAGTGAGTTAGTTAGTGAGTGAGTGACTGAGTGAGTGAGTTAGTGAGTGAGTGACTCGGTGAGTTAGTTAGTGAGTGAGTGACTCAGTGAGTGACTCAGTGAGTGACTCAGTGAGTGAGTGACTCAGTCAGTGAGTGACTCAGTCAGTCAGTGAGTGAGTGACTCGGTGAGTGAGTTAGTGAGTGAGTTAGTGAGTGACTCAGTGAGTGAGTGACTGAGTGACTCAGTGAGTGACTCAGTGAGTGACTCAGTGAGTGAGTGAGTCAGTGAGTGGCTCAGTGAGTGAGTGAGTGACTGTGTGAGTGAGTGAGTCACTCAGTGAGTGAGTGACTGAGTGACTCAGTGAGTGACTCAGTGAGTGACTCAGTGAGTGACTCAGTGAGTGAGTGAGCAACTGTGTGAGTGAGTGAGTGACTCAGTGAGTGAACAACTGTGTGAGTGAGTGAGTGAATTAGTGAGTGAGTGAGTGAGTGACTCAGTGAGTGACTCAGTGAGTGACTCAGTGAGTGAGTGAGCAACTGTGTGAGTGAGTGAGTGACTCAGTGAGTGACTCAGTGAGTGAGTGACTCAGTGAGTGAGTGACTCAGTGAGTGACTCAGTCAGTGAGTGACTCAGTGAGTGAGTGAGTGACTCAGTGAGTGACTCAGTCAGTGAGTGACTCAGTGAGTGACTCAGTGAGTGACTCAGTGAGTGACTCACTCAGTGAGTGACTCAGTGAGTGACTCAGTGAGTGACTCAGTGGCACGGCAGGGGTCTACAGAGGCTCCCAGAGCCAGCGGGAGACTCTGGGAGCCTACCAGGGGGCTCGGTGAGTGAGTGAGTGAGTGATTCAGTGAGTGACTCAGTGAGTGAGTGACTGAGTGAGTGAGTTAGTGAGTGAGTGACTCAGTCAGTGACTCAGTGAGTGAGTGACTGAGTGAGTGAGTGAGTTAGTGAGTGAGTGACTCAGTGAGTGACTCAGTCAGTGAGTCAGTGAGTGAGTGACTCAGTGAGTGACTCAGTGAGTGAATCAGTGAGTGAGTGACTCAGTCAGTGAGTCAGTGAGTGAGTGACTGAGTGAGTGAGTTAGTGAGTGACTCAGTGAGTTAGTTAGTGAGTGAGTGACTCAGTCAGTGAGTCAGTGAGTGAGTGACTGAGTGAGTGACTGAGTGAGTGAGTGACTCAGTGAGTTAGTTAGTGAGTGAGTGACTCAGTGAGTGAGTTAGTGAGTGAGTGACTCAGTGAGTGACTCAGTGAGTGACTCAGTCAGTGAGTGACTCAGTCGGTCAGTGAGTGAGTGACTCGGTGAGTGAGTTAGTGAGTGAGTTAGTGAGTGACTCAGTGAGTGAGTGACTGAGTGACTCAGTGAGTGACTCAGTGAGTGACGCAGTGAGTGAGTGAGTCAGTGAGTGGCTCAGTGAGTGAGTGAGTGACTGTGTGAGTGAGTGAGTGAGTGACTCAGTGAGTGAGTGAGTGAGTGACTCAGTGAGTGAGTGAGTGAGTGACTCAGTGAGTGAGTGACTCAGTGAGTGACTCAGTGAGTGAGTGACTCAGTGAGTGACTCAGTCAGTGAGTGACTCAGTGAGTGACTCAGTGAGTGACTCACTCAGTGAGTGACTCAGTGAGTGAGTCAGTGAGTGGCTCAGTGAGTGAGTGAGTGACTGTGTGAGTGAGTGAGTGAATTAGTGAGTGAGTGAGTGAGTGACTCAGTGAGTGACTCAGTGAGTGAGTGACTCAGTGAGTGAGTGACTCAGTGAGTGACTCAGTCAGTGAGTGACTCAGTGAGTGACTCAGTGAGTGACTCACTCAGTGAGTGACCCAGTCAGTGAGTGAGTTAGTGAGTGACTCAGTGAGTGACTCAGTGAGTGAATCAGCGGCACGGCAGGGGTCTACAGAGGCTCCCAGAGCCAGCGGGAGACTCCGGGAGCCTACCGGTGACTCAGTCAGTCAGTGAGTGACTCAGTGAGTGACTCAGTGAGTGACTCAGTGAGTGACTCAGTGAGTGAGTTAGTAAGTGAGTGAGTGACTCAGTGAGTGACTCAGTGAGTGAGTGACTGAGTGAGTGAGTTAGTGAGTGACTCGGTGAGTGAGTGAGTGACTCAGTCAGTGAGTCAGTGAGTGAGTGACTGAGTGAGTGAGTTAGTGAGTGAGTGAGTTAGTGAGTGACTGAGTGAGTGAGTTAGTGAGTGAGTGAGTTAGTGAGGGACTGAGTGAGTGAGTTAGTGAGTGAGTGAGTTAGTGAGTGACTGAGTGAGTGAGTTAGTGAGTGACTCGGTGAGTGACTGAGTGAGTGAGTTAGTGAGTGAGTGAGTTAGTGAGTGACTGAGTGAGTGAGTTAGTGAGTGACTCGGTGAGTGAGTGAGTGACTCAGTGAGTGAGTTAGTGAGTGACTCAGTGAGTGACTCAGTGAGTGACTCAGTCAGTGAGTGACTCAGTCAGTCAGTGAGTGAGTGACTCGGTGAGTGAGTTAGTGAGTGAGTCAGTGAGTGGCTCAGTGAGTGAGTGAGTCAGTGAGTGGCTCAGTGAGTGAGTGAGTGACTGTGTGAGTGAGTGAGTGACTCAGTGAGTGACTCAGTGAGAGACTCAGTGAGTGACTGTGTGAGTGAGTGAGTGACTCAGTGAGTGAGTGACTCAGTGAGTGAGTGAGTGAATTAGTGAGTGACTCAGTGAGTGACTCAGTGAGTGAGTGACTCAGTGAGTGAGTGAATTAGTGAGTGACTCAGTGAGTGACTCAGTGAGTGAGTGACTCAGTGAGTGACTCAGTGAGTGAGTGAGCGACTGTGTGAGTGAGTGAGTGACTCAGTGAGTGACTCAGTGAGTG